AGCTTGAGGGCAGGAGAATCTCAATTTCAAGACTACACTGAAAAACTTACTGAGGTCTTGTTTTAAAATGAAACAATATAAAGGACTGGAGAGTTGAGCAATTCTGGGTTTAATCACCAGTGCGTAGGTGGTGTTGGCTGTGGTGATAATGGTAATGGTGGACCTTTTTTGATGAACAGTGTGAATCATCTCAAAATTAGGGCATTAAAATGAAATTCCCATATGGTCAATATCCATTTCATTAGTCTTTCATTCTTTATTGAAAATTCTTTGTAATAAACACCATTACAGCTGTGTTTTGGACCTATTTGGACAATGTTTTTATTTCTTGCTTTTTGCTTAATATAAGAAATTATATTTGCAAATCATCTGTTGAGAATAATTTTGATATGTAGGGAAATTATGACATGAAAAATTATTTTCTCTTTTTATAAAAACTAAGACCACGGAATATATTTTATCTTTTAGTTTGAAAATCTGTCAAGCATATTAAAGCTTCCTGGTAAAAAGACTTTTAATAACATGGATAGAGATTTTTTAGAAAAAAGGAAAAAGGATCTAAATGCCTATTTACAGGTAAGTTCACATTTACTACTGTATTTACCATAGATTTTCATGTTACATATCACACATAGTAGATTTTTGTATTAAAGAATGGGGCTGGAGTTACAGATGAGTGCTGGAAAACATGCTTAGCATACGTGTAGCCCTAGGTTTAATTCCCAGCCCCACCTCAAACTGTAAAAATGAGATAACAGCCACTTCTGAGCAGCATGTTAAATGTTTCAGGCAATGTCTCAGTCATTTATAAACATTATTTCTGCATTTATTGATAACTCAGGAGTTTTTTAGGCACTGATTGTGCTTTTGCATGTTTAGATGAATGCACGGCCATCCCATATTATTGTAATGTACAGGTATTTTATTATGATAGTTAAATGTTCTCAATTTAATGTGTAGTAGCTCTTACTGATGTATCCAAAGCTAGTTGATTTTTATTTCCAAATAGATGTGTATAACTGCCTCCCATGGCCCAGAATGATTATAAGGCTTCTAAAGTGCATTCAAAAGAATGATAGAGCTGAAGGATTATTTCTTATGGGTAGTGTACTGAATATAGTTTTCTTGTAGAATAACAAATGTAACAAGTTACTTGTTACATAAATTGTTAGGACTCCCAGAAATAACTAGTTTATTTAACTAGTTAATGGTTTATGATGTTTTCATATAGATTAGAGAAGGCATCAGCCCAGGTTTATAGTATTCTATTATTTAGCTGCCTATCCTCTGGAACAGGAATCAGCAAACTACAGACTCCAGGTCCCAGCCAGTGTACTGCTCCCCCGCCGAGTATGGGGCATCAAACTCGGGTCCTTGTGCTTACACAGCAGGTGGCAGAACCATTGAGCTAAATCCCCAGCCCCTAACTGCTTTTTACAAAGAGATTTATTGGAGCATATTCACTCCTTTCATTTACTATCCATTGGGGCTTATGTCACAAACAGAATTGAATAGCTGCAGTAGAGGCACCATGGACCTCAAAACCAAAAATAATGAGTGTCTGACTCTTTATAGAAAAATATAGCTGACTCCTGTCTTAGAATTTAGTGAAATTTTGTTGATCATATACTAAATATTTTTGATTGGAAAATTATTTTCTCTTTAGTCTTAAATACTTATAGCTGTGACTAGGTTTGTTTATAACCATTACTGTAATTCCATGTTGTTGTGATTGACTAATTAGATAGAAAAAGTATATTAGTCTCTCATGTTGCTCACCTCTGTCTTCTCTTGATTTAAAACTTATCATCTGATATTGTTTGTTATGACCCTTGTCGAATGTTTTGATTTTTTAAAAAAAGTACCAACTTCAGTTCCATTAAAATCTGTATGATTAGTAGAAGCTTTAGAAAAGGACTACCCCTTTCCTTATCTGATCCCATAATGTAGCTCTTAATTGTGACTATACCCTATATTAGCTCCTAAACTCAGTATGTTACAGGTTGTTGAAAGAACTAAGCTATAATATTAGTATTGTGAAATCATAATTTTGTTTGGAACTTCTTTATAACTTTCAGAAGTTTTTGTTTGGATTATTTTTTGTATTTTGTTTCTAGTCAGTGTTTTAATTTTAGCATTATGTGAATAACAATTTATGTGAATCATCTTAGAGTCAGATATGTGGTCAGAATATATATTAATATCAGCAAATATTTTTGGACAACTTTCACATTAGATGTGCTGAATGTCAAAGTAACAGATAGGAAGGATATGTATAAACTTAATTGTAACCAAGTTACTGGTGACTTTATTTTTAACTGGGTAATTGTTTTTAAAATATAGAACTAAATTCTTTACATTTTTAAGAGATGAAATTATAAGCAATGATTTCTTACCATTATAAAATAACTTTGTATTTCTTCATTAGTTACTATTAACTCCTGAAATGATGAAAGCATGCCCAGCTTTGGCTCACTGTGTATATGACTTCCTTGAGAATAAAGCCTACAGTAAAGGGAAAGGGGACTTTGCTCGCAAGGTAAGCAGACCATTCCATGAGGGTTCTTTTTGGGTCTGGTTTTATAATTTCTTTTGAATAAAATAATTATTTAGATTAAATTTATGTTGTAAAACTAGAAAAAAAATTTAAATGCTCCTTGGCACGTTCATCTTCTATGTGTTAAATGTACTATTGATTACAGTATCTACTGTGTATGAACTATCTTCACATGTGTAAATATTCAGCAAAAGCTTGAAAAAATGAAAATGTTTTGCGGTGGTGCATAAAGAAATGCCTGCCTAACATGGACCACACCGTTTTGTTTTGTTTTTTTATCTTGGTCTAGAGATCAGCTTCTTGTCCACTATACTTTCCTGCCTTTTTTTTTTTTTTAAGCCTTTCCTTAAGAAGGAATTTTTTTTTTTTTTTTTTTTTTTGGAA